AAAGCAGGGTAATGCTTTAAGGCGGGCTACCTTTGTGATTGACAGCTCATCATCGATGGGTGAACTGATTATAATAGTTTGCTGTTCATGGTCTGTTTGACTCTAAATGGACCATCAACTTACTAAATGACATCATGCTGTATGGGAAGAAGATGAACTAGAGACTGAGAAAACCAGAAACTCAATCAGGAAACTGTTTACTGAGCTCATAAATCAAACTGAGAAGTCGGCCTATTTCTCCATTAAGAGTGAGTGATCAGTGTTTATTGAAAGCTAATGAGCATAGACAACCTGAAAACATGACACTGCTTATCGCAGCGCGGGAGTATAAAGAAACTGTAACAAAAATCTATGAACGAACTCACATCTGAGACAAACCTTTGACGTGGCATCACTTAGCGTCTTCAGCATCGCGTAGCGCTGCATAAAACAGAGACATCCTTTGTAATTATGATTATAGAATACTAAAAGCTTTTCGATTTCTTTCATCTACCTTTAAAGCAGGGTATGCTTTAAGGCGGGGCTACCTTGTGATTGACAGCTCATCATCGATGGGTGAACTGATTATAATAGTTTGCTGTTCAATAAATGTGATCCCTTAACTCAAGATTTATTGACCATATTTCACAGTTGGTTGGACACTGACGTCACTATGACCTCAAAATGGGTTTTTAGCCATAATTTAAACATGAACGAGCCAAATATTGACTGGGACAACACGATATCTCCATCCTCTAACCCTGGTACCCACGAAGGTGTCACCAGGATCATTCCCACACTTCCCATTCATTGTCAATTTGCACGTTAGCCTGGCTGTTTGTATCAGAAGTGCAACGATCCTCCACTCGTTTCTAATACTAGCTGATCTTTGTAATCACCAACATGATGTGTTCATGGATAAACAGTTCTTCTACAACAATGAAGTTAAAAGGACAATATTGTGAGGATGTGCAGACAGAGGCACCACATTCTGTACAGCTGTCATCAATATAATGGTAACTTCCAAATATTTACTGTACATATATTATATGAGTCGGCACAGACTTAACTTAACTGGTTAGTGGAGGCATACAACAGCAGGGCAGTAGTTCTAGTTATTTATGCAATAAACAACAGGAAGACACAAACATGGATCAGGTAGTTTCTTCACATTGTACGTGTAATAAACAGTTGAGCCTGAAGGGGTCGCTGTAGCACTGCAGACTGTTGTTCTTTCACAAGCCACCAGCAGAGGTCGCCCTCACTGTATTTATTCTGTGGCTGCAAACACTGAAGGGAAGTTAAAATAATGAACCCTGAAGTGGAAGTTTCCTGTTTTGTGTTTAAACGTTGAGTCTGCAGTGAGAAATTATTTCTTTATGGATACAGTGGCTTCATCTTATTAACACAATCTGTAACAATATTTTTGTTACATATATGACAAATACAGGATGTTAATCAACAAATTACATTCAGCTACATTTACAAAGTTCCTAGACTATTGTATTCTAGTTTATTTGTTGCAGTTTGGTACTGAAATACATATTTATTTATTTTGCTGTAATATATTGTAGTAAACATATATATACACATGTAATATATTGTAGTATACATATATTATTATTACATCTTATATTCAATGCTTTATATGTTGTTGTTATATATAGAAGAACAATTTACCTATTTTTACACAGTTGTTATTATTTTCTGTAGATATTGATATATATTGTAATATAATACACATATTTTTTTTTATTTCTATTTACTATTTGAGGAAACCATTCCACCCGATACTGATTTAATTTCATAGATTTTAAATACAGTACTGTTTCTTTTAATAAAGTAGTTTTACACTGTAACAAGGAAAATTACTTCCTCTATACACAAAATCTCTCCTGTCCGTTTTTTTTTCTAATGTGAATCATCTGCCATGATTGTTTACCACTGCCATGTGCCATTTGTTTACTTGTTGTGTGCACTGAATGAAACTTTATTGTCCCGTTGTTGTTGTGCAGAACCCAGACGTCCCGATTGAAAACACGACAGACTGTCTGAGTACGATGGCCAGTGTGTGTAAAGTGATGCTGGAAACGCCGTGAGTCAACAACTGACATGTTCCTGAATGCATCATCATAGCCACCTGCTTTAGACATGAACCAACACTGTGTGTGTGTGTGTGCAGGGAGTATCGCAGTCGTTTTGCCAGTGAGGAGACGGTGTTGTTCTGTCTCCGTGTGATGGTCGGTGTCATCATCCTGTACGACCACGTTCACCCGGCTGGAGCCTTCGTTAAGACCTCCAATATAGACGTACGTTAGCAAGACAACACACACACACACACAGTTACAGCTTTCCTTAATGTTTTGCCAATGGAAGTGATGTGAGTTCAATATATATTAAGTTCTTTCACAGGACAGATTTAGAGTTTTTCCTCACTGGTTTTCTCACTTTTCTGGATATAGTTGATGTCCCCAGGGAATTGTCGCCATCAATTAATTCTGATCAATCCACACCCACACAGTCCTGATAAAGCAGATTAGCTTTGAGTGTCAATAAATAACACTGAAGGAAATGTTTTCTCCCAAACTCTAACTTTGATTGAAGTTCCAGGATTAAACACTGACAAAACAAAGCCTGAAAATAAGTTTTCAAAAGTGTTTTAAGTTAAAAGAAGAGTTTGTTGGGAAGGTTGTTCCTGCATTGAAGTTCTCTTACTGTAAAAGCTCCTTTAGCTCCTTTAGTCTTACACCTTGACACAGAAATAGCTAACGGGTTCCTGCTGACCGATAAATGAAAAAATGAAAAATGAAAAATCATTTTATGTACAGATGGTACAGAAACCAGCTAAAGACCAGAGTATTTATTATGGCACTGCAGACTGTCTTTAATGAAATCTTTCTTAATGCGTATTACACAGTATTTAATGGTAGACAAGCTGGCGATGTGTTCAGACTTTACTGGCATGTATAGCTGAGCATCATCAGCATAGAGACAGAAGGAAATGCCAGCCAGCCCTATGAATAATATCACCTATATAATGAAAACTGGTCTCAAAATGGAGTCCTGGGGCACTCCAAAGGCTACTTAGGACTGGGTTGTCTCTTTAAAAGGAGCTTTAACACAGCTGAACCCAGTACTAGCTTACTTTTAGCTTAAAGATACACAACCTGTTTATTATGTTGCTCACAACTTGTTAGAAGAGAATCTCATTTCCACCATCTGTTCTTGGGTCCAGGTCTCTTTTTAAAAGATAACTTTTGTTTCTCAGGTTTTTGTACCACTGGTCTGTTTGTACCTGCTGCAGTGATGTGTTTCAGGATCAGTTAACTCTGTTATTTGGTCTTTTTCAGATGAAAGGCTGCATCAGAGTGCTGAAGGAGCAGCCGCCCAGCAGTGTGGAGGGATTACTCAACGCTCTCAGGTCTGACTAAACTCCATCAGTAACCTGGTTCTTTTCTGACCTGATGTTGTGATTGTTATTGTGTAACTATTGTTAAACCGCCCCCTTCGTCCCTCCAGGTATACGACCAAACATCTGAACGATGAGGCTACCTCCAAGCAGATCAAAAACATGTTGCAGCCAAATTAACTCAATGCTTCGTCAGCAGAACTGGAACGATACAGGGAGACAAAAGTGTTTTGGTCCAAATTTCAAAAGAACTACTGAACAAACCTGTAGCCAATATTTCTTTGTTTAACCTCAATTGTTTTGTTTTTTTTAACTCGTTTGAAAAAAAGCTGTTTTTTTGTGTTGTTGTAAAAATAATAAAAAACAAGAGAAACCTTTTAGTTGGTTGATCCAAGAAAAGATGGTGTAAAAATCGGCTGCTCTTGCTGCGTTCACGTCATGTCAGATCTACAACAAGCGGACATTGAGATTAGTGCAGTTGACTTTCTCTTTGTTGTCTCCAAATTCTTTAGTTTGCTGTCACAAATGTGCAGAATTTGTCACATATAACACTGCTGTGAATATTGGAGGTTAGAGATGTTCCAATGCCGTCATATCCTTTCCTTTCTTCTTCTTTTGTCTATGCCGGGAGGTTTCTGACATTGTAATTACAACAACATTTGAACTTTTAAACATAGCCCCCTTAACACTTTCCAGTTAGTCGAGCCAAAAATGTAAAGTTTGTATTGCCTTCGGGGGAGAGCGAATTTGTACTTCTGATGTGACGTGAATGCAGATTTGACAGTTTTCAAACGTCACATCTTTTAGCTTCCATGTGTTTTGGTGGCTTGGCAGTCTGATAATAGATCATCACTTCAGACCCTTTTCCACCATAAGAACCTTTTCCAGAACTATTTCCGAGAACCCAGGAACTTTTACACAGCAGGAACCTTGTTCTGGTTGAATTCCTCGGCTACAGTTCCTACCTCAGAAAAAAGTCTCTGTGGCCGAGGTCTAACTTTTCAGTTGATGATGTTCACAATTTTACAGTGAGGGTTAGTCAGCAAGAATCTCAAAGGAAAACTATGGTTTATTACAATTTGGCTTTTATTTTTTTAACTCCAGCCATCAGTTTGATAGGTAATGATATAACGCACTGATTGGATAGTCCTTTTTTTCCCAAAAAAGTTTGACCAACCATTTTGAAAGCCCAATTACAACGTTTTTCAACCAGCCTCCTGCTTCTGTACAAGCAATGGGATCCTTCACAACACGATTTCTGTATTTATGTATTCTGAAATTATGTTTTTGTCCTTCCTTTACTAATTGGCTTAAAGTAGGTGGGTTTATATGTAAAAGTAATCCCTGTGAGCATAAAGCCTTCAAACTATAGATGATTGACAAGTTTAGAAATTTTCCATGTTAATTTTGAAACAATTTCTTTAGTCTTTAGTCTCTCTGAAACAGGGACCTCAAACTTCTGGCCCCGGGGCCATTTCCAGGCCCTTCATCCCCTCTTAAATCACTGTCAGTTAAAAAAAGTTCCTGGTTGCTTTAATGTACATTTCCTGTGGTTTCTGGATTCTTTGGTGGGAAAGGGTCAGTCAGTGGCCAGTTTGTTTGGCGAAACGGAAACAGCTCATTCCTCCTCAGAAGATGAGCTGTTGGTGTCACTAACATCTGGTTATATCTGTGTTTTGGGACCAGCCCCTGTTTGGGCTCATTCTCCGATGGTTCTCATAGAAAAGCTGTAGAAATAGAAACAATGGATGAGACAATCCCAAACATTTCTGCACCTTGATAGAATTATTTTAATCCACAAACTCATGATTTGTTATGTATGATTTGAAAAATAGTAGGAATGATTTTATTTGCTGTGACGTGGACGGCGAACAGGAGTAGCACTGTAGTAAACTGGCTACTGAGAGCAGTTTGGGGTTAGTTAAGAGAAGGAGAACCACTGTGACAAAGGCGATGCGGTACTGATATGAGGGGAACCTCAGACTTTTCTCGATGTACAAACTGATCTGATCAGTGGGACTGCTGACTGGAAATCTTTACAAGCTTTTTATTTTTGCCTTGTATGTTAACGCTGCAGTGTCAGGGATTTTGTGGCATTAAGTGTTTTAATGATGTTTGCCAAATAAACTTTTTACATTTTTAAGAAAATGTTGATTCTCTTGTGTTTTTTCCTAAGCTCAGCCTTTTTGAAAAGCTAAAAATGAGATGCTATCTACTGCTGTAGTAGTAACAGTGTAGGTAAAGCAATAATGTTGTCGGCAGAAGAAAACATATCCCATGAGTCTCAGCTGCTGCTGTGCTGCAGCTGAAGGTGATGTTTTGGTGTCTGTCCATCATTATGAGTCACTATGAGTCAGGTTTTGCAGTGGTTTATGTCTAACCCACAAGACAGAGTTCCTATTTGGATTACAAGCTTCCTCTTCTGCAGCAGTTTCCTGCGGAGTACCACAGGGAGCCAGTTTAGGCCCGATTTTATTTTGTTTTTGAAAAGCTTCGTTTGTGCTGTTATTTTTAGAAACATCCCCTCTGACTGTTACCCTAGACGTCTACTGGCTCGGATGTATTGGCGTAATTATGACTCCCACTGCTTTTCTTGTGTTGCCTTCAAGTACTAGGATTGGCCAGGTCCCTAAGAAAAAATAAATTGTGGTGGATGCATTAATTCTTTAGATGTAATTTTTTCAGTTGTTTTCAAATCTTCAGTTTTCAGTTACAGTTTGATTAGACTAGAAAACCTTTATGGCAGAAAACTTCTCCCACTCGTAGGCTGCAAAAAGAAATGTCAAGAAAGTAAAAATGTCTTAAATCTGTCTTATCTTTTGTCTAAAAAGAGATTAGAAAAGTATTCTGGTTGAAAGAAAATATATCCAACTCTGTCTTAATAAGATATTACAGCTAATATTGAGCTTATATAGTATATAGTTTGCATAATATCCCAGCAGAGGTACAAGAAGCCATTGCACAACTTCTCAGTTTGAGATTCTTGAAAATACTTATTTTAACAAAGTCTATCTTAATTAATCAGCACAACTTTTTTTTGTGCCTTTTTTCTAGTTTTAAGGCCTCTTTAAGGTCTTTCAGTTTTTAGCTTTTTATGCTGCTTTTAAGAATTCTAGCCACGAATAATGATAATTGATGGTCGACTGACTGCTACCCAGGTTGTATCCATTACAACGTGTCTTGCGGAGATTTTGTATCCTGTCCCGCTGGTGAAAAAACGTTTGTTGGGTGTTTTTTAAAAATGGGCTTTAATCTTCTTTTCAGCTCCATCCTTCTGTTATTTTGTTTTTGTTTTTTAGTGACAGCTAAATACAGACAGGAAAGGGGGGCAGAGAGAGGGGATGACAAGCAGCAAAGGGCCACAGGTTAGATTTGAACCCTGGGCCGCTGCAGCAAGGACTCAGCCTTGGTACATGGGTCGCCAGCTCTACCCACTGAGCTAACCAGGCTTATTTTAAGCTTTTATCTGTATATTAGGAGCATTTTTGCTTCACAGACTTCAGAGACGTAACCCAAACAAACAATGAAGTGCACAGTTAAATAAACATTTTGAGTAAACTGTCAATAAATACATTTAAATGCGTACAAAAGTGAATTTAGCTCTTCAGAGACACGAGCAGCAAAAACTAACCTAGTGTGTAAAGTTAATGGAGCAGAGAAAAGATCCCTGAGTGAGACTTCATTCATGTTCGTGTATCAGACATCGTCCGGTGGACACTGAGATTTAATACATACTTGTTGCAGCTCATCATAGATCTTCAGATCAGTCACTCCTCTCTGTCCCAATCTGCAGATTGTTTTCTGTGGCTGATTGTGGAACAGTTGAAGTCACCGTCTTCTCTTCCCGTCCTGTTGGTATTTTTAAATCCTGTGGAAGACTCATCGTTTCATTTCTGCTTTTCAATCGACTCAAATGGTCTTTTGGGTTTGTTTTGTTTGCCACGTGTTTCTGCTGCTTTATTCGTCTTTATCCTTTATTATCTGAATCTATTTTTAACTAATTTGTTTTGTTTTCTTTAAAGTAGAACTCTGAATAAATTGACCTTACTAGATAACACACTAGGACGGGGTCTCCAACGAGTCCACAGAGAGGAATTGTACAAATGGGATTCACTGTGTCAGGATTTGGTGGACTTTTTTTGGGACTATATCGGCCTAATTTTTAAATTTGTGGCAAAAAATCTATTTTTACGTTTTTAGACATTTTTTGCAATGAA